ATGTCCTGTCATGCTGAGTTAGCATGTGTCACGCCGAAATCGTCAGCACGACAAGGTTACGCAGCTTTGACTCTGTGAGAGGCAGTTGCTAAGATAATTTCTGCCATAGGCGACCAGGCTATGGGCTTGCTAAACTCACCAAAACCATGGACTACGTCTACCATCTCGTTGTATGTTCAAGCTGGCACCATGTGCGGCATCTGCTTTTCTTTGGCAGTATTAAGGTTTTAAAGTAGATGTACAAATATGTTAATTTATATTATCAAGGACTTGATGACTTGCGTCACATCGTCCTTTGTCTTGACGCTGCTGACAAATGTGCTGGAAGGTTGGTCGACAATAAATTCCTGTGTCTGCGATCATCTCGGCAAATTAGGTGGTGGTGGTGGGGGGGGGGAGAGGGGGGGGCAGTCGATTGAAGGGGTGCATATGCTCGAGAAATATTGAAGTGAGCAGTATTATATGCGGCAGTTGTTTAGTGCTCAGACAGTTTGTGATAGCAAAGGTCGACTGCAATGCCAGCTTTTGACGACAATCTGCTTTCACCTCCTCTGAATCGCACCTGTAGTACCGTTTAGCGATCGTTTTGCTTTCGGTAAGCTCCATGCTGCTCAACACGTGGCTAATATCAACCGGATATCAGTAGAGATCTTGGAATCGTGTCACGACTCAATTAAATGTATATGATGGGCTTAGTTAGTAAGTGATTGTAGAGGCCTTTTGACCGTAATCAGCCGCTTGTGTCCATGAAAATCAGCTTCTGCTGTTTAATGCAGCCACGTCCAGATAGCAGTTGATCGACTGCCTGGCGAGGCTGCTGGCCGCTGCATACCAGCTGGACTCGTATCAAAGCTATCATAATACCCTTTACAGGCTTAAAAAACTATGAATACTAAAGGAATGTTTTTTCAACAGATGCACAAGCTCACTTTAAATACGGCTTTTTTCTGCTTCTTTTTTACATTTTTGGGTACAATTTTGACATCTACCACGCACATGTGGATGGTGCAGTTGAGTCCTGGTTGTAGCTTCAATGAGTGAAAACTTGTGGTTGTAAAATTCCAGAGCTAGCTTAGCTCTCAGGAGAGTTTCGGTCAGTTCTTAACTAACGAAGTAGTAAGGAAGACACTGACCGAGACTCTCCGAAGCCACACTAGACTCTGCGACGATACACTCACTAATGCCAGCACCAGTACGGCTCGGTGTCCGTGACAGTGCAGTAGTCTCTGCTGTCTTCATCTTTGGCAAAAATAAACAGTCACAGAAGAATTAGAGCACAGTGCATGTGTGTATTCTGAGCTAGAAAGAAGCGACGTAGTTTCGTTGCTACTTCCTAAGGACTTGACGACGTGTGATCTATCGCTCCCGCCAACAGCAACAGAGATAATGTGCACCTCGTAGCCGACACCTGAGGTCAACGACGAGAGCGACACATCACCTTGTGCTTCTTGGTCCCGGGCCTCATTTAACCAAAGTTCCTTTCTTGGTCGTCAAGAGTTCGTAGAGCCTGTACGGTTTGAGCTTCTGTGGACTCGACGTCAAGGCCAGAGTATAAATTAAAGTGCTAGCACAGGTAAAACAAATAGTATACTACCTTGCTTACAGCTTGAGATAGTCGTTTACGCTGCCAAGACATGTATCAATCATTTTACCGATGCCGCCAGGCTCAATGCGCGGTTAGTTTCCTTCGTTTATTATATACATGACCAGTTCCATTTAACAGTGCTTTTATACCATATGAGGTAGGTACTCCTTAGAGCAATCTCCGCACCATCTTTTGCAGTAAAGAGTGTGACGTAATGCACTTCCAGAAGATAAGCCCGACCTGACCGATCCACGGAGCTTATGGAGGCCATGTCGTCAAGCCACCTGTCGCCACACATACGCACGGTCATCAATTGGAAAGTGGACGAGCTTCTACGAACAATTTCACATGTTTCTTTGCTGAAGCATGTGGAGTGCTGCTCTGTAAACTGCATACTTAAATATATAGTAAAGAGAACTCATAAAATATCAATTTAAAATACTACTTTTATGAGTCCATGTACTATATTAGAAACGAATTAGTATTTAAAGATAATTTACATGATAATAATATTGCGAAGCCAAGCAGGATAAATCTATCGAATCGATAGATATTATCCCGAGTTTTTTTTTTTTTTTTGGGAACATGGCTGTCACTTAACTACTGGAAGTACCTAACGACACCCTATGACCTGATTAGATTATCCCGAGTTGGTGTGGGCTGAGATGCCAAGGATATTGCCGCAACTTCGGCCAGGTTTAGTAAAGCACAGTCTCTTCGGCTTGCAGCAGTACGCAGAGACAGTGTGGGACGATGCTTAGAACTTGCTTGCGAATATTGCTAACGTGCTAAATATTTATTCGAGAATCTAAGCAAGTTATGTACCGGGAGAAAAAAGTCAAAGATGTATGGTCTGGCAAGGCACAGTGACTAACAAGGCTTCTTTACATGTTAAATCACCAAAGCCATTGTTGGCAATAGTGTAAGATAATCTTTGTCCAGTGCCCAATTGGTCTTGATCAGTTTGCACCCGTGGAAAATACAACCTTCCAAGCTCTAGCAGCTGATGAATGAGGCAAACTCGCAGGATCCGCATGCATTACCACCTCTTCGGCTGGGAACCGAATGGAGACCACGCACTTTACGCGGTTGCGGTTGCTGTGGAGTCCCCGTGCACTCTTGCCTTTCCGATTTTGCAGTCTCATTCTCAATCTTGCGTCCAAGAGATCAACCGAAAGGAAACCCCACCCAGCATCGGCACTGACCTTCGTGTGGCCGGTCGGTACTTCATCGGTCAAGTAACACTCCACCATGTTGACGGACGAAAGTTTCGACGGCCAACTTTGCGAGGAGGTGACTATTGTACATGTTAAACGGTTCATGGATACATGTACCCATGTTCGCAAGTGCATGTTTGAAAACTTTTTTTCTCTGTTCACTTGTATGTGCTTCTTCAACTCTGGTCAGCCAGCTACGACCGTCTAGCAGCTCTCCTTCTCTCCACTGTCCTCATCTTATGCGCGCTGATGGTCCACGAGCATGAGACTGGCCACGAACGTCATCATCATCTTGGGCTTGACCTCCACGATGTCCTCGTACGTCAGGAAGACCGTGGCGCCGATCTTCTGCGCGCAGCTGATGGCGTACTTGGCGTTGCTGGCCTTGGCGTCGTCCGTCTTGTCCTGCGAGACCATGTCCCAGTTCACCGCACGCGGCTCCACAGCGTGCACCAAGTCCAGTAGATACAGCCCGTCGGACAGCGTGGGGTCCCGGAACGCCACGATGTTGCCCTTGGCCCGTCCGCTCTGCTGCACCTTGTTGTTGGCCCAGCCGATGATGTCCTTGTCGGTGATCTCGCCTCGCCCGGCCGCCAGCTTGCTCAAGATCTTGAGCTGCTGATAGCGCATACTCTGCCACACAATGGACAGGATCATCTTCTTGGCGCCTTCGAAGATGTCGGCGCCTCCGACGTTCACCAGCGAGAACTTGAGCTGCTTGCCCAGTACGACGCAGTAGTTGCAGTTCTCCACCTGCTTGAACTTGTTGGGCGCCACCAGGTTGACCTTGTTCCAGCTCACCAGGCCCTTCTGGATCTTGTCCAGCACCTTGAGCAGCTTCATGCCGTCGCTCAAGTCCGAGTACAAGTGGTTGACGTACACGTCGTCGATGGCCAGCGAGTTGATCCACAGACGGAAGACCCGCTCTTCCCGCGTGTCGCCCACGTCGTCGTACAGAATCTCCTCCAGTTGCTTCACCTCCTCTTCGACCACATCCAACGCTGGGCACGTGTTGAACAGCTGCGCCACGAACGACATGTTGAGCTTCGGGTTGCCGCTCGTGATGTCGCGAGGCTTGATGAACGTCTCGACCTGGAGCCGACGCACGTTCTGGATCACGTGGGCGGCGCGTTCCTCCGGGACGGACTCGGCGCACACGTCGCAGTGCTGAGGCGCGATATGATGCAGTAGCACACTGTACGCCGTCGCATCCTGCACGTCAGAGCTGAAGTTCGTCACCTTCTTCCTATGCCCAGCAGCCTGGAGATGGTAGTTCATCCACCGCAGTAGAATCTGGTCCGGCGGGAGCTTCATGAACGCCTCCAACGTCTCTCCATCCAGCAGCAGACGCATCAGCTCTGGGTGGTTCTTGAGGTTGATACTCGACGTGAGTTGGATCTTGATAATCTGCCACACCAGACCCAAGACGAGGATGGGTTTGCCCTCGATCAGGTCGTCCGGACCGATGTTCACCACACTGCAGCCGATACTCTTGGCGGCGTTGATGCACAGGTTCTGGTTCTCCGTCTTCTGGTACACGTTGAGCTCTCGCGCGCGCTTGACAACGTTCAGCGCGCGCTCATCGATCGTCTCGGGCACAGCGCGGTTGAGGAGTTTGCAGAGCAGCACACCGTCGCACACAGCTCGGAACAGCCCCGCGTCCATGCTGATAGGCATCAACGACGCCACATCGCTGTCTGCTTGCAGCGTGTTGTTGATATGCTCGGTGAAGGCAGCCGTCTCTTCCTCCGAGTACGAGTGGAGACCGCCTGCAGTGCCCTTGACCTCGTAGTTGTACTGCCCTGCTGCACTTTGGGGGTTTCTGAAGAGGAAGTGGCGACAGGAGCAGGAGATGAAGATAAACACCGAGAACTGCTGTCGGTCACGTCGCTGGGCGCGTCATGTGAAGCAACGTTGAGGTGGCTGATTGCCACAGTTATCTTGTCTTGGGCGGAAGAAGATCTTTTGGATCGTTCACTATATTTTGTGCGCAGCAAACTTTTTCTTACTCAGAGTTTAGTATCCGATAACTTCAACGTTTAATTAGCCATTAAGTTGCGTAAAACGCTAAGAATTGCGCAAATGATCAGTTCCAGAAAATACAACAAGCTATTACTGTCCGCGCCCTCCTCTCCCTCCCCCGCACACATTGATCAAGCACCGCAAAGCTCCTGCCCACCACCATCGAACAGCCGGACGCAAACAAATGTACGTACGATCAGAAGACACTTGCGGCTTGTATGCAGCGAAATGTTAGCAGATTGTCGATGGCATAGTACGCTGTATGCGTCAATTGCTAGCAAATGGTTGCTGGGACTGACTGCTGTATGCAGAAAAAGCAAGTATACTAACACTTACAACAATTTCAAATACTCTGAAGCAGAGAATAGAGCGAAAGGCTGCGGCATGGGAGGCCAAGCCAGCTTGAAGGCGCACGAGACCGTCAGCTCGAGTGCAAGCCCCATTCTCGTTTTTGTTCGGCTGGAGCTCAAGTCGTTCTCATCAACAAAAGCCGCCTCCAAAACTACGACGATGGCCAAGCCTACTGCGGAGGGATTGCGCATGGTCTCAGCAACTCCGACTCTTAGTGTAAGCTTCAAGAAGCCCTACACTCACGAAGCCCTATACTCATATCCCTATCAGATAGCTAACCACTCATTTGTGCTACTTTCGTACAGAGCTTCCAGCCGTATTGGACTGGGACGTGTGTAACTAGTCTTGGTGACCATCCGACGGACAGCAACAGCCTCAAAGACAGGGCCTTTTTAAAACCATGCTGCGCAACTCAAGCCATTGGAGCGACGATGCTTATGTTACGCTAGCCAGCAAGCATCAAGGTGATAATGTCTGAGAGGTGAGCCCCTGCTGCTTTGTAAGTATCCGTCCGAGCAAATCTGTCCCAATGGTACATGTACTTAACAAATCCATTGTATCAAACTACGTATTTTTACATATTTAAGCCCAACGACCTCACGCCACTCGCGACGAACGACTACTGCTGCCGTAGGCATTGCACAGCGAAGAGCTTTACCTGTACGATCGCCGGTGACATGGCTATGGCTGCCCAACATCGTGCACTACTATTATTCACAGCTTCCTGGAAGATTGTCAATCATCTTTCCGACAAAAGCAGTTTCGACGTCACTGAAGCCAGTGCCCTACTGTCAGTCATGAATCATAACTCTCAAACATGAAGGACGCCGTGAAATGTAGAGCTCCACCAAACAGCGAGGCCCATGCGTTCAGCTACAGCTACGTGCAGCACCTACAAGCTGCATCCTTCATATTGATGAAAGAGCAGTAGTACTACTTGGATACCGGGAGCTGTCTCGATGCAGCGCTGAGGTGCCAATCCTGCCTACACAAAGATCCAGCACAACGAACACTTCAGTGCCAGTTCGGATGGTGCAGCATACGACGAGATGTTCACGCGTATCCAGTATCTGCTGTAACATAGCTGCACTCAACAGTGTATGTAGGTGGTACTGCTTCGCCGTGGGCTTAATACTCAAAGGTCGGTGGAGAAACGAAGAAATACACCGTCCTCGGCTGTGCCAAGCAGTGCACAATCTTTGAGGTGCTGGTGAGTACAACTTGAACTGGTATGGTGACCGAAACCGGCCTTAGCTCCAGTATGTTACACGCTTACAGTCAGGTGGACTTGGTGCTTTTGGTGTTATTAGTCGGGAGAGTCCTACCGAAATTGTCAGCGTGTCTTTACAGATTTACAGAA